AATTATACACTTTGATAATATCAATAAAGTAAATTTTTTACCGCAGATTTGAAGTATAAAAAAAGGGTTTTATTTTAGCATATTTATGCATTTTTTCCAGCATAAGTTCTGGTCGAATTTCGACCGCTGGGCGAACTCTAGTTTTTTTAAAGGCTACTTAAGCTTAAGGATTTGTTTTGAGTTTTTGTGTATATAATTTTAAATAACCTCCAATTGTAAAAATTCACATTTATATTTCGCTAGTGTACGATAAAAGAAGCATAACTTAAAATTTCATTAAAAAAATTCCAACTTGATGTTCTGAGTTTTAACAGATCTATGTTTTATAAATGGAATGTAAACATGTTCTAATATAATGTTTTGCATTAGCCCAACATCGGAAAAGGTTTATACTAGTACTGCAATATACTTATGTAATTAGAGTCTTTTATGCCTCAAAAGTTGGGGAACAGATGCATTAGTCTAATTGTTATTTGCATTTCATGTTCCTACTTTTCGTTAATTTTTTTTTTTACATTTAACAAATTTTTTAATTTAATTTTAATTTTGTTTTATTACTCATACGTACTGTATGACAAAATAAAGAAATATAAATTAAACTTATTTATTTAGTTTGACAACTTGGTAAAGAGCATGACTTTTTCACCTTCTGCATCTTTGACCACGGATTTCAAATCCGTAACTTTTTGCACAGATACAAACAATAACAAAAACAATAACGACTCGAAGTATACACAAAACGTAATAATATGAGATAACCCAACAAACGTTGACGAAGCTTAACAATATAATTTTTGTTAAAAAATATTTCGTAGTTAGTTAGTAAGTTAGTTAGTTAGTTAGTTAGTTAGTTAGTAGTTAGTTAGTTAGTTAGTTAGTTAGTAGTTAGTTAGTTAGTAGTTAGTTAGTTAGTTAGTTAGTTAGTTAGTTAGTTAGTTAGTTAGTTAGTTAGGTAGTAGTTAGTAGTTAGTAGTTAGTTAGTTAGTAGTTAGTTAGTTAGTTAGTTAGTTAGTTAGTTAGTAGTTAGTTAGTTAGGTTAGTTAGTTAGTTAGTTAGTTAGTTAGTTATTAGTTAGTTTAGTAGTTAGTTAGTTCGTAGTTAGTAGTTAGTTAGTTAGTTAGTTAGTTAGTTAGTTAGTTAGTTAGTTAGTAGTTAGGTTAGTTAGTTAGTTAGTTTAGTTAGTTAGTTAGTAGTTAGTAGTAGTTAGTTAGTAGTTAGTGTAGTTAGTTAGTTAGTTAGTTAGTTAGTTAGTTAGTTAGTTAGTTAGTTAGTTAGTTAGGTTAGTTAGTTAGTTAGTTAGTTAGTTAGTTAGTTAGTAGTTAGTTAGTTAGTTAGTTAGTTAGTTAGTTAGTTAGTTAGTTAGTTAGTAGTAGTTAGTTAGTTAGTTAGTTAGTTAGTAGTAGTTAGTTAGTTAGTTAGTTAGTTAGTTAGTTAGTTAGTGTTAGTTAGTTAGTTAGTTAGTTAGTTAGTAGTTAGTTAGTAGTTAGTTAGTAGTTAGTTAGTTAGTTAGTTAGTTAGTTAGTTAGTAGTTAGTTAGTTAGTTAGTTAGTTAGTAGTAGTTAGTTAGTTAGTTGTTAGTTAGTTAGTTAGTTAGTTAGTTAGTAGTTTAGTTAGTTTGTTAGTTAGTTAGTAGTTAGTTAGCTCGTTTCGTTAGTTAGTTAGTTCGTTAGTTAGTTAGTAGTTTAGTAGTTAGTTAGTAGTTAGTTAGTTTAGTAGTAGGTAGTTAGTTAGTTAGTTAGTTAGTTAGTTAGTTAGTTAGTTAGTTAGTTAGTTTAGTTAGTTCGTTAGTTAGTTAGTTAGTTAGTTAGTGTTTAGTTAGTTAGTTAGTTAGTTAGTTAGTAGTTAGTGAGTTAGTTAGTTAGTTAGTTAGTTAGTTAGTTAGTTAGTTAGTTGAGTTAGTTAGTTAGTAGTAGTTAGTTAGTTAGTTAGTTAGTTAGGTTAGTTAGTTTAGTTAGTTAGTTAGTTAGTTAGTTCGTTAGTTAGTTAGTTAGTTAGTGTAGTAGTTAGTTCGTTAGTTAGTTAGTTAGTTAGTTAGTTCGGTTACGTTAGTTTAGTTAGTTAGGTAGTTAGTTAGTTAGTTAGTTCGTTAGTTTAGTTAGTTAGTTAGTTAGTAGTTAGTTAGTTAGTTAGTTAGTTAGTTAGTTAGTTAGTTAGTTAGTTAGGTAGTTAGTTAGGTAGTTAGTTAGTTAGTTAGTTAGTTAGTTAGTTAGTAGTTAGTTAGTTAGTTAGTTAGTTAGTTAGTTAGTTAGTTAGTTAGTTAGTTAGTTAGTTAGTTAGTTAGTTAGTTAGTTAGTTAGTTAGTTAGTTAGTAGTAGTTAGTTAGTTAGTTAGTTAGTTAGTTAGTTAGTTAGTTAGTTAGTTAGTTAGTTAGTTAGTTAGTTAGTTAGTTTAGTTAGTTAGTTAGTTAGTTAGTTAGTTAGTTAGTAGTTAGTTAGTAGTTAGTTAGTTAGTTAGTTAGTTAGTTAGTTAGTTAGTTAGTTAGTTAGTTAGTTAGTTAGTTAGTTAGTTAGTTAGTTAGTTAGTTAGTTAGTTAGTTAGTAGTTAGTTAGTTAGTTAGTTAGTTAGTTAGTTAGTTAGTTAGTTAGTTAGTTAGTTAGTTAGTTAGTTAGTTAGTTAGTTAGTTAGTTAGTTAGTTAGTTAGTTAGTTAGTAGTTAGTTAGTTCGTTAGTTAGTTAGTTAGTTAGTTAGTTAGTTAGTTAGTTAGTTAGTTAGTTAGTTAGTTAGTTAGTAGTTAGTTAGTTAGTTAGTTAGTTAGTTAGTTAGTTAGTAGTTAGTAGTTAGTTAGTTAGTTAGTAGTTAGTTAGTAGTAGTTAGTTAGTAGTTAGTAGTTAGTTAGTTAGTTAGTTAGTTAGTTAGTAATTAGTTAGTTAGTTAGTTAGTTAGTTAGTTGTTAGTTAGTTAGTTAGTTAGTTAGTTAGGTAGTTAGTAGTTAGTTAGTAGTTAGTTAGTAGTTAGTTAGTAGGTTAGTTCGTTAGTTAGTTAGTTAGTTAGTTAGTTAGTTAGTTAGTTAGTTAGTTAGTTAGTTAGTTAGTTAGTTAGTTAGTTAGGTGTTAGTTAGTTAGTAGTTAGTTAGTAGTAGTTAGTTAGTTAGTAGTTAGTATTAGTTAGTTAGTTAGTAGTTAGTTAGTTAGGTAGTTAGTTAGTTAGTTAGTTAGTTAGTTAGTTAGTTAGTTAGTAGTTAGTTAGTTAGTTAGTTAGTTAGTTAGTTAGTTAGTAGTTAGTTAGTTAGTTAGGTAGTTAGTTAGTTAGTTAGTTAGTTAGTTAGTTAGTTAGTAGTTAGTTGTTAGTTAGTTAGTTAGTAGTTAGTTAGTTGTTAGTTAGTTAGTTAGTTAGTTAGTTAGTTAGTTAGTTAGTTAGTTAGTTAGTTAGGTTGTTATGTAGTTAGTTAGTTAGTTAGTTAGTTAGTTAGTAGTTAGTTAGTTAGTTAGTTAGTTAGTTAGTGTTAGTTAGTTAGTTAGTTAGTTAGTTAGTTAGTTAGTTAGTTAGTTAGTTAGTTAGTTTAGTTAGTTAGTTAGTTAGTTAGTTAGTTAGTTAGTTAGTTAGTTAGTTAGTTAGTTAGTTAGTATTAGTTAGTTAGTTAGTTAGTTAGTAGTTAGTTAGTTAGTAGTAGTTAGTTAGTTAGTTAGTTAGTTAGTTAGTTAGTTAGTTAGTTAGTTAGTTAGTTAGTAGTTAGTTAGTTAGTTAGTAGGTTAGTAGTTAGTTAGTTAGTAGTTAGTTAGTTAGTAGTTAGTTAGTTAGTTAGTAGTTAGTTAGTTAGTTAGTTAGTAGTTAGTTAGTAGTTAGTTAGTTAGGTAGTTAGTTAGTTAGTTAGTTAGTTAGTTAGTAGTTAGTAGTAGTTAGTAGTTAGTTAGTTAGTTAGTTAGTTAGTTAGTTAGTTAGTTAGTTAGTTGTAGTTAGTTAGTTAGTTAGTTGTTAGTTAGTTAGTTAGTTAGTTAGTTAGTAGTTAGTTAGTTAGTTAGTTAGTTAGTTAGTAGGTAGTTAGTTAGTTAGTTAGTAGTTAGTTAGTTAGTTAGTAGTTAGTTAGTTAGTTAGTTAGTTAGTTAGTTAGTTTAGTAGTTAGTTAGTTAGTTAGTTAGTTAGTTAGTTAGGTAGTTAGTTAGTTAGTTAGTTAGTTAGTTAGTAGTTAGTTAGTTAGTTAGTTAGTTAGTAGTTAGTTAGTTAGTTAGTAGTTAGTTAGTTAGGTAGTTAGTTAGTTAGTTAGTAGTTAGTTTTAGTTAGTTAGTAGTTAGTTAGTTAGTTAGTTAGTTAGTTAGTTAGTTAGTTAGTTTTTTAGTTAGAGTTTAGTTAGTTAGTTTTAGTTAGTTAGTTAGTTGAGTTTAGTGGTTAGTTAGTTAGTCTCTTCGAATCCATGTCCTTCAGCCGGACAGATGTGTACCACAATTCGCAAAGTTTTTCGAAGTTCCATAAATTAACATTTTTACATAAAAATGTTTATTGCGTTTTTACACTCTGGCAAATGCTTTTACACACACAACTGCTCATGAGTGCGATGATGAAAGTTAAGCCAAAGTTTACAAAATAAACACGAGGCCCCCGAAAGCTTCATCAACAACAAAAAAGAAAGAAAAACAAGCAAGAGAAAAAAGTAAACAAACTTATAAACCAGGTAGAATTGTTTTATAAGGAAAATAAAGAAAATTACTGAGGAAGAAGTGTTTGATAAAGAGAAAGCTTTTTCCCCCAAATTTAACTGAGCTGTTTCGGGGGATGGCAATAGACATGCATACATATGTATGTACATATGTAGGTGCTCTTTTGTTAAGTATAACAATTAATTTATGTCAGTGATGAGCAAAAGTTTATCACACAAACAATTACTCTCCAATGTTCGTTTAAAATGAGAGATAGAAAGAGAGTTGCATGAATAGTATTAGGGTGTTTATACGAATTGTACAATACAAAATTTGTTATAGTGTTATACATGTGTATGAGTTTGTATAAAATTATCACAGATTTAAATTTAGTTTTAAAGATGTTGTCTTTTGGATTTTTTGAATCAGTTTAGTTAGAGACGTTGAAGAGTTTTGAGCTTCTAAAAAATACATGGTGGTAGATGAAAATCGTAAAACGAGTTTATACTCTAGTTGGATGAAATATAATAAAAATATCAAAAAAATAAAACAACAAACAAACAAACAACAATAAGTTATAAGCAGAATAAAAAACAAGATAAACAAATTAAGGATTTGAGTAATGACAGAAAAAGTTTTGAAAGGTGAAAGGTTTTATGTATGAAAAGGATTTCAATTAAAGAATAAGAGAATTAAGAAATCAAGAAAAATAAGTTTTAATTAAATTTTTAAATAAATAAAATTAAGAAAATTATTTCTTGATAATTTCAGTCATTTAAAATAAATCTTCAAAAAAAAAAACAATTTATAAAAAATAAAATTATATAAAAAACCACAAAAAGTTTAAAGTGCAAAAAAAGTGTTTAACCAAATTTTACACAATTATTTAATAAAAAATAATTAAAAAAACAAATAAAACTAACCACAAATATATACTTTATCATAAATTAAAAAAAAAAACAGTGTCAAAGATTCAAAGTCAAATACCTATACACAGTCAACGAGGCATAAATTTTATAGAGAGAGCCCAAGTCAGAGAGACAAAAAAACCTTAAGGACAACAAATTAAATGTAAGTGATTTTGCAATTATTTCTAATAACAATTGTGTTTGTATGTTTTTGTTTTTCTTTTACTTTAAGCAGTAAAACGAGTGCTCTCATTATTACATCTCATATTTAATACACAATATTTACCGTTATCTATGTATATAATTTTTATTAATGAGTGTGAGAGCTAAAAGAAAAGTTATTTACAGGTACTTTTACAATTTTTTTACGTTCTTTGTCATTTTCTTTTCAAGTCAAACAAAGACATTCATCTTTTATTGTGTTTTGTGTTTTGCGTTTTCTTTGTTTTTATTTTTGATGCTTTTTGTTTTATTTAAATACTTTTGTAGAGAACTTTTTCTAAAAATCTCTACTACTTATTGTGTAAATTCTACCATATGGAATAGGTACTTTATTATTTTTAAGAAACCCAATGAAAAGGCAGTGATATACAATTTTTTATTTATAATTTAAGATTTTGATTAAAGTTGTCACTATTTGAGATTAGTCTAGTGAAGCTTTGTAGAGCTAAAACTTGTTATTGGACAGTTTTGGAACTTAGCTTAAGGGGAAGAGGACTTACACATACCTAGTACTGTGTCTAGTTTTTGAAGGTAGTTCTGATCTTAATTTTTTGAAGGGAAGTTGGTATGGGGAATAGGTCAAATGAGAACCGATCATTATGATAACCGGCAGTGTCAATTAGACTTTTATAAAACTAAGTTTGACCAATTTTTGTTGACATATTAGAACATTTAACATAATTATGACCTCAAAACACTATTCGGGGGATACGGTTGTAAGGGGGCTTGGCGAAATAATAGACCGATTTTAATCATTTACAATATGCTGCATCCATGGATCAAATAAAGAGTACGTGCTAAATTTCATCTAAATGTCTTAAAAATTGTGACCTTTGGCGTGCCCACAAGCTTTACATGGACACAGACATACGGACGGACAGAAGGACATAGCTAAATCAACTCAGACAGTGATTCTGAGCCGATTGGTAAGGTATTTGTGGGTGTTACAAACATCAGCACAAACGATTTATATTTTTTTAAAAGCTAACTTTGCGTGAAATATTTTAAATCAAAAAAATTGAAAATTTTTGATGCTGCTGGTCCTTTTTGTATATTGCCCTTGTCCTTTTCATATGTAAAACAAGTAAGAAGTTATAGTCGGCCAAGGCCCACCATTTAATACCCTATACCAGTTATAAAAATAAAATGTGAATTTAACCTTGTCTTAGATATACTTAGAATCCCTATTCGGGGGGTTCAGTTGTATGGGGGCTAGGTCAAAAATAGGACCGATGTTACCCATTTTCAATAGAACTCGTGTCTAGCACAATAGAATATGATGTGCAAAATTTCATTGAATTAACTTCAAAATTGCGATCTGTACTTTGATTAAAAGGTTTACAAGCCCTTTTCGCGGGTTGAGTTGTATGGGGGCTAGGTGACAATAGATGATCATGTTCCAAATTTCATTGAATTATCTTCAAAAATGCAACCTGTAGTTTGATTACAAGGTTTACATGGACGGACAGACAGATAAACAGATAGACAGACAAAATGTGTGAATGTGTGAAGCAAATTTCATTGAAATCCGAAAGGGTCATGTTCAAAATTAAATATTTTCGTTTTAAATTTTCTAAAATTACTCTGTTAATATATAAATCTTTATATTGTAATTTAATTGGCATAAATGTAATAACTACAACAAAGCCAATTAAAAATTTAATCAATTAAAAATAAAAAGATTTAAACTTAGAACATATAGGATAGTTTTTAAAATTAAACTACCCGAGGTGTTTTACTTTAAGGACCCCTGAAATAAATAATAGAAATAATGTAAACAAGTTAATTGAATAGAAAACTGCCAATAATATATTCTGAGAAGTTGAAATTAAAAAAAATATATATAACAATTTATTTTCAGTATTATTTATTATTTACTATATTGTTATTTTGCCTATAACTTCTTACCGAATACTTCTTTAATTCCTGAAAATTAATTATATTTCTTAGAAGAAATGAACACACTTATCAAGAATAAAGATCCTTTATATAAATTGTGTAAGTTGAAAGTAAAAGTTTTCTTCCCGGGAAATGTAAAACGCACATGCAGACACTCAAATAAATTTACACATGCTGTGTTTGTTTGAAATTAAAGATGAAGAACATTAAAACGGTTATGCTACAACTACTACTTCTAGTTAAGAGTATATTTTACTAATAAACCGTAAAATTATACTTAAACATGATGTTGTTTTCAACCACATACATATGTGTATTTATCCAAAATAAATGTAACCCTGCAGTTTTATGAGTAGTAAATGTATGCTTTTTAGGCAGTAGTTTTTCCAAATGTCTTATTTATATGAAAATTAAAAGATTTGGTGATATAATTATATGTTTAATGTAAATAGAAGTCAATTGGTTACTTAAATCGTCCCAAGCAATACAGAGGAAAGACAAGTACATAGTCATTAGTTTGTATCTCTCTATACAGGCAGGTTATTGTAATCTAAAACAGAGCCAATTTGTTATGTGGTCAATATTTGGTGAGCTGAATTAAAGGATAAAAAAGTCCTTTTTATACTTTGACCTAACTTTAAATTTGGGCCCACCCTAATGCACATACATATGTAATATACATATGTATGTTATGTATGTACACTTGTATATATATAAGTAGTTGTTACTATATATTTGTATTGATACGCACTGTCTGAGGTCGATTTTTTACGTTTTACTTATTTATTTACTATTTTGTATAATATACCAGCTGAGCTTTTAATACCCTACATCACTATAGTGGAGAGGGTTGCGTGTTGAACTGTTATTTGCAATATATAAAAATGCAAAAGTCAATTAAGGATATAAACCTTATAATTGTCTCTTACAAAGGTCTCAATTTTAAACATAATTCGATAAAATTTGGTACAACAAAATATATATTTTTAATCCTTTAAATTTTAGTGTATTTTAGCTTTAACTCACTTTGGAAAAAAGTGGAAAAAATTTTTAATTTAAAAAAAAAATTTAAAACTTTTTTAAATATTTTGTTCGAAAGATTGAAGATTGAAACTATTAGGAATACATTTTGCTATGAACAATAGATAATGAGTTATATAGATGAGAAGAAACACTTGTTTTGTATCGACCCACTGTAGCTCAAAGAGTTCTTGACCGATCTTGTAGAAAAATTGTGTATAAATTACTATCGAAAAGGACTAATATATTTCAATTGAAAATTTCATACCGATAGGAAGACATCGGTTTCAAAAGTTGGGTCACTGAGCATGACCCAACAACAAATATTTTGCTATAAATACAAATAAATAAACAATTCCACAAAAAAAGTAATAATAAAAAGATACACTTAAAATGTTTGTAAAAATAAAAAAGCAAATGTTTATCATACAGTAAAATATCTTATAAATTCTTAATTTTTCTTTTACACTTTAATATATACAAACATAAACGTCTTAACTCCAAATAACTAAGAGTCTTTAATTATGAAAATTGAACAATATGGATTCACGATTTACGACTAGCCCCTAGTTAGGTCAAAAAAGTTCGGATTAGTCATAATGAAAGTGGTCCTTTCCATAAAAAGTAAAACATTATTTGGGGAACAGCTAAAAATCCAAATTTTAAGTTACAACACTATTGCTTTAAATGAACACTGTATTTATGCTTATAAGGATTTGTAGCAGCACAACATGTAAATATTTACATGTACATAAGTATGTATGTATCTGTGTCGATTTGATACCTTTTCATTTTGAATGTATGTGAGTTTATATTTTATCATCGTTAAGTTAGTCAATCAGTTAGTGGGTCGTTACAACATTGGCATCGTCATCGTTAGTCTCGTCCTACCTTAAAATATTATATATTCTGATGAAAAGAGCACAATTTCTTATTGTGAGATAGTTTGTTTCTTTTATAATACTGACATAATAGAAAGGAAAAAGGAGATACAAAGTATTCCTTTTGATACATACATACTACATAAGTACATATGTTTATCTATACATATACTTATTTATGTATGTATGTGTTCTAAATGTTTACTAGTTATGTATTATTTTGTATATTTTATTATATTTTTTTTACTGCTTGTTACTTTTCTTCCATTTTATTTATGCCAAGTACTTTGTACATTTCATTTTAGTACTTTAATATTATTTTTATTTTCATCTTTAAGAATTTTTTTGGACATATTTTTTTGATAAGACTTTAAGAGCGTATTTAGCTCAGTAGGTCGTTAAAACAATTAAGTCCCTTTTGAATTTATTTGGTATTTTATTTTGTACTAAAAAAAACTACTTTTTTAAGAAAACTATAAAAATACTACACAAATGTGCGAGTTAAATAATTCTTTTATTTATATATATTTGTTTCAAAAATAGTAATGTTTATTCGTATTCAATAAACTCATAAAGTATGACACTTATTGGGAAAAAATTTAAAATATTTAATACGGACGTCATCAGAAGTGATCCTGTGAAGTTAATAGTTAATATGTTTATTACTTAGGGTAATCAGTCGGTTAAATAGAAGCAGGGAATAGAATCGAATAGACCATCCAATACATTGTCTTATATACTATTGATATTCGAACGAAATTACAAATTCTAAATTGTGGTCAACATATTCTAAAATTACTAACATAGTGAAATCTAATAAATACTATATTTGTATGATGAGTATACATTACAATTACCGTTGTGACAGCAACATATAGCATCAGTATCATCATACATGATTCTTTTTTTTTTTGAAATAAAACAGGGGCACAATTATAAACACGAAAGAAGATAGAAAACTGACACCCTCATCATCATCACCAGAGGCAACAACATAACCCGCATTAATATGTATTTAGCAGCAACATTAGGTCTCTTTATTTTAACTATACTTATGATATAAATATGTTTGAGGACAGAACCTGCAGTTTTAATGATTATGTTTGTGATCATAGAACAGGTTTTGCACTAAGGTATTGCA